AGAGCGTTTAGTCGGATAGGTGACAGATTAAAAGCTTCGAGCCATTTTCATTTTCTGAAGAAGACGAGAAGGTCGAAATGTTTGGCCATTATCGAAACGTTAGGCCAATAAAAGCTACCTTTTCTCAGCTGATATGGTCCCAATAGGTCAAGGTGGTGTCTAGAGGCGGAATTAGTCCTCGTGGCTTTCCTTTCTATCAAAAGTGTCGACTAGTGATCAATTAGCCGCTGTACGGAAATGCCTCACTTTTCCAGGGCTAAAGCAATCTATAAACTCTGGAAAATGGTCCCAAAATCTCACAGGGAATAGAGAAACCAACGAGTTTGACTCACCTCGACGCCCGACACAGGCAACTCTCCGTCATTTCTCAGTCGCTTCGAATATCTGGTAATGGTAGTCCTGTCGACTCCGAATTCTCGCGCTAATTCCCTCGTCGTAATCGCTGGATTTCTTCTTAACGACGTCGTCAGACGACCCACGTCTGTTATCGATGATTTTATCATTACATTCATATCAACATCCTCGTCACCCTGTCGAAATCGTGCAAACCATCGTTTCACCGAGATAATCGAGATCGCGCCTTGACCGTACGCCTTGTTGAGATTGCGACATGCACGGAAGGCTGTTCTTCCGAGTTTGTACTCATACAATACGGAGATTCGGATATTCTCCGAAAGAGCGTGCATAACCTGTAAAAAATGAGGCCCATAAAACCTTGTTTGCTGCGGATGATGGGGCGTATCGTGGACCGCTTCGGCAATTGGTGGAGAACTGGCTGGCTCCAAACCCAACCTCGATAACACGACCCACTATCCGCAGGGCAAGACTGCGGAGATTTGCAGCACCGGAGAAATATTCAATATGACAGCGAAAATTCGCCCAAACAAAGTGAGCACAGAAACTGTAAATTGCTTTAATAAAAGGAGCGATACAAATTTCACAGATTACCTGTCATCGTAAATGGCAAAATCTGCACTGTTTAGCTTAGGGGGGGGGGGACTTTGCACCTTGTTTTTTTGGTCATTTCATGTCAATTAGCAGGTCTCACTTCAATGAAACCTGTAAACTCCTGTGAAGCTGCAAAACTGAGCGAGTGAACCACTTTGTCACAGGGATTTACAGGTGTTCACAAGCTGTGCCAGTTTCGCTCATGGAGTTTATCATTTAGTCCCCCTCCACCCCCTCCCCCAAGTCGTACTGCGCCAAATCTACAAACACTCAAAATACAAGTTGGCAAGTTGGATGACTTCATAGAAATCATGCATTATTCACAGAGTTTGAAAACATTCTAACCAGTAATTACCCTCCTCTAAACGATATGTTCTACTCAAAAGAGCTCTAACTTCAGAAGTACAGTCTAACAAGCAATGGAAACAAGAAACAGAACATATGGGAATATGAAAATAACTGTTTTTCAATCAGGGTTTTCCAGAAATCTTCAACAGGATTGTTCATGAAATACAAAACACCTACCACTAAACTAAACAGCTGAACAAAAAAAATTCTCGAACGAGAAACAACAAACCGGATAAATCAGAAAGCTAATGGTAGGTAAGAATGTACTATTCACATATT